GATAGATAGATAGATAGATAGATAGATAGATAGATAGATAGATAGATAGAATCCCCTTCATTCATATTTCCCGTTCATTTCAGGATGTTCTGGGGAAACAGGTTTAAGTCCATCTTCAGCCACAGAATCTCTTTCATAATTTGGGGCTCTCTGTCTAGCCAAACTCACAGAATTGTTGTTATGGGGTGAAATGAGAATATAGAATAGAATAGTATATTTTATTGGCCAAGTGTGATTGGACATGTAAGGAATTTGTCTTGGTGTAAATACTCTCAGTATGCATAAAAGAAAGATACATTCATTAAGAATCAAGAATCATAACGTACAACACTTAACAGTCAGTCATAGGCTACAATCAGCAATCAAATCATACCAGGAAACAGTCAATATAAATCGTAAGGATACAAGCGACAAAGTTACAGACCTACAATCACAAGTGGGAGGGGATGGGTGATAAGGAGTGATGAGAAGATTAACAGTAATAGTAGTGCAGACTTTGCAATAGTTGAACAGTGTTGAGGGAATTATTTGTTTAGCAGAGTGATGGCTTTCGGGGGAAAAACTTTTCTTGTGTCTAGTTGTTCTGGTGTGCAGTGCTCTATAGTGTCATTTTGAGGGAAGGAGTTGAAACAGTTTATGTTCAAGATGTGAGGTGTCTGTAAATATTTTCGCATCCCTCTTTTTGACTCATGCAGTATACAGGTTCTTGATTGAAGGCAGGTGGGTAGCAATTGTTTTTTAGGAAAATAGTTTCCACTTTTCTGTGTCTTAAATTTCCTACATGCTGGCTCACAATTGACTCATACCTTAAGATGGAGCAAATTCATTTCCATCCAGATCTATCTGTAAGACTGTGGGGTTCTTCAAAGTGTCACAGAGTCTGTGCTGTGCTTGCCACTAACAAAGTCGGCATTAAACTGCAGCCATGCATCACAGTTTGTAATCCATTGGATTTGAGCTGCCAGCAACAGCTGATCTGATTGATACACGGATGATTTAAGAGACAGGATTTTGAGCTGGTTGTAATGCTCATGGAACAGCATACTCAAGCTATACTCCCAGGCTCCAAATGAGGTGGCCTTTTGCAGTGAAGGCAAAAGTGGCAGCAACTCAAGTTAATGTGGGAAAAGGTCAAGAGGAGAATAATTCACTTTCACCTTCCTACAGAGGAAGAGCAGTAAAAGCTGCCCATTTATTGGTGAGATTATAGATAAACACGAAGTTCATATCTCCAGCTTCCACCTCAGGCTGCCATCCAGGCTGAGCTGTTGTCATCACCTACCTAATCAGGTGGCGGATTACCTGGCCTTGATAAATTGAAGAAGAAGCTACGGGATTTCAAGGAGGAGGGGGAGAGAGAAAGGTAGCTTGCTAGCCTGTAGCAGCTAATATGGGAGCAAAAGTCTGGACCAAGTCTCTAAGCTCATAGTATGCAGCACCACGGAATGATTTGTAGACAACAGCATAAATATCTTTAAAGAAAGACATCTGTAAAGAGCACGCTGTTAGGAATGATATATTAGAGCAAGGGGACAAAGGAAAAAGGGGATGGTATAACTCATTTTGTTTTAGAAAGGAATTCCCACACACTGTTTGATAGGCACCAGCCCATTTGAGTTAGAAGGAACCGTTTATATGAACTGTGCTGATAAGCAATATCCTTTCCGTGAAGGAACACAGCATATGTCTAAAGCCAAATCCAGAGTTATTGCATTGTTGTTCATCGTTTGTGAGTTGATTATAGGCAGCTTGCTCAGGGTATATTAATTTTTCCTCTTGAAATCCTACTGAGCGGAACATCAGCATTTCCTAAGCGCACAAGCGTGTGGAAAGGTTTTTGTCGAAGCAAGTGGCAAGGCTAGACAATTCTTGTTCCAATAAATAAATTGGGCATTTTGTTTTATTGGAAAAGTCCAGTCTAATAGGATAAAAATGCAGCCGTAAAATAACTACACTGGGCTAGTGTAATATATAGTCATCGATATAATGCTGAGGGACGATGGGAACAATTGGATTCTGGATATAACTAGATTTGGTAGAAACACTATGATAATCCTGTCAAAATAAATTCTTTTTTTGCTCCTGGAATCAGAATTTATCAGTGCTTAAGCACAGCTGGACTGTGCCTTTGATTTCATGAAAGTTTCTTATTGTCAGAAATCTGAGAACAAAGTAAAATAGAATCTGAACCCAAGTAATTCGATTTCTACGCTGAGAATAACCAATTTTGCTATATGAATAGCACCTTTCTGGAGTTTCAAAACAGTTTTTTCTCAACTATATTTTCAGAAACCAAAGATTAAACCTATTATCTTTTGCATTCGAAACATGTGCTTTAATGCTGAATTGAGTGTTCCTCAGGAGTGGGATTCTACCGGTTCAGACCAGTTCTATGGAACCGATTGTTATGATTCTGCACAGTTTGGAGGACCAGCAAGTCATGCCCGGGGTTGGCCCTGCCCATCTCTGCCTGCCCCTCCCCTCCCTTCCCAGTCAGTCCTTATCATGCATGCATGATATCGCACGTATGCCCAACATCGCTGACTGCATTCTCCCCTGTCCAGTAACTCCTTAAGGTATTTCTTTTTCCCCCCTCCCAACTATCATCTGTTCCGATGATCAGCTGTGCCAGGATCCCTCTCACTGTCTTACTGCTTCACCCAGGAGACTTCCCTGAGGCCCAGGAGGCAAAAGGGGGCGTATGGGGGGGAAGTGGGGGGGTTGCTGCTTCCTGGGCCCCAGGGAAGCTTCCTGGGAGCAAACCCCACTCCCAGGAGGCAATCCTAAGGCCCAGGAGGCCCAAAATGGAGTGAAGGGGTTGCACACACACCCAGGCTCCATTTTTTGCCTTCTTGGGCCCCTGGGAAGCCTTCTGGGAGCAGAAACACCCCCAGGAGGCCTCCCTGAGACCCAGGAGGCCCAGAAATGGACTATGTATGGATGCTGCGTGTCCCCCTGGCTCATTTTTTGCCTTCCTGGGCCCCGGGGAAGCCTTCTGGGAGCAAAAACACCCCCTCCAGAAGGCTTCCTTGAGGCCCAGGAGGCCCAAAATGGAGTGTGGCCTCCCCAGGCTAATTTTTCTGCCTTCCTGGGCCCCGGGGAAGCCTTCTAGGAGCAAAAATGCCCCCCCACCAGGAGGCTTACCTGAGGCCCAGGAGGCAAAAATAGGGAGGAGTGTTGCAAAGAAAAGAAGAATAAGCCACATCTACCTAGTCATATGGCCACACCATGCCCACCTAGCCATGCCCACAGAACCGGTTGTTAAAAAGTTTGAATCCCACCCCTGGTGTTCCTCCCCTTTCACCATCTGATTTTTAAAATTGTTGTGCATAAATTGGATTTTATATTCATGGGTTGGGTCAAAAGCTATCCAGGATGCTGAGGCCCAGTTTTCAGTCACTGAACGCAATGTAATTATCTTTGAAACATTTGAGATTTCAGCAAAAATTAACCTATTAATTTTTCAAACATATCTTGTCCCATATATCTAGAATTCTTTTTTTTTGTTTACAAGCTGAAAATTATGCCCAAATCCACATTCTTTGCTTTCCTAATTCTTTAAGAATGTTATCATACACAATGATTGATATTTTTACAAAAATCTATTTTTACAGATTTCCATTTGCATGTTGCAAAGGCAATTCAGATGGTCTAAATATTTGAGGAATGTTGGGAAACAAGCAACATTTAAGAATAATAGGTGTAGAAAAAAGTGTTCTACTGCATTCATGTAGAGAAGCACAAGGGTTTAACATGAAATAATAAAGGTGGGGATGTGCTGTCTAGAAAGCTGTCTTCGTTATGGTTCAGCTACTTTAAAACTTACTTCTTCCACATGGTTCTATGCATGTTGACTTTGCATAGATGACTTAACTAGCAGAAAACTGGATGCTTCTTGAAATTCAAACTTTGTGAAGTTTATTTTTATCTGTGATAATGTCAAATTGTTGTTGTTCTTTAAGAGCTCTGGCCTCTTTATTGTTTTCTTTTCCTTTTATGAAATAATGTGTTTGCAAAGCTTCTATTACAATTAAGAATTGAAATCTGGCCTGTAGGAAGAGGTCCAAAATCCAGAATTATAACTCTGTGGTTCAGTGGTAGAACCCACTCTTGGCTTAAAAAAAAGTCCCAGGGTAAATCAATGACAACTCAGAACGATTTAGTCTTTCCCTTCTGTATAGCTAAAGGGAGACTCTACAGAGTTAAAGGATTTCTGGGAAGTGCAAGGGAATCCAATAAGTTCATATAACTTGGTTTTGAAGAAGCTTTTGCAAACTTCCCCCCTGCCCATCCATTTTTAAATTAATTTCATAAGGAAGGATACTCCGTATATCAAATAATGCCTTAAATTACTGAAATTGAGGTGGAAACTCTGTGGGCTGGTTTTCCAGATGTTACTGAACAGTTCCCAGTATTCTCAGCCACCAAGCCTTCTGGTTACTGGAAACTACCATTTTTGCCAACTTCTCCAACCTAACCTAAACTACTGCTCTTTCCAGCAGGCAAAATTGGCCAGTTCTTATTTGATAGGTTGAATAAGTAAGAGCTATGGTGCAGTGGTTAAAATGCAATATTGCAGGCTGACTCTGCTTACTGCCAGGTGTTCGATCCTGACCGGTTCAAGGTTGACTCAGCCTTCCATCCTTCCGAGGTCGGTAAAATGAGGACCCAGATTGTTGGGGACAATATGCTGATTCTATAAACTGCTTAGAAAGGCTGTAAAGCATTGTGAAGCGGTATATAAGTCTATGGCTATTGATATTGGAAACCAGTTGCTCTGTTCTCTCAGAAACCTTTTTATCCTGGTGACCATACTTCTTACAGCTGTTTTTCTCCCCTTCTTTCCAGGGGAATCCCTACATGTGCAATGAGTGTGACGCAACCATTGACGAACTGGCACATCCACCCGAACTGATGTTTGATGCCGAAGGAAGGCATCCCTATACCTTTTGGCAATCGACCACTTGGAAAGGTTACCCAAAGCCTCTCCAAGTGAACATTACCCTATATTGGAACAAAACCATCGAACTCACAGACAACATAGTCATCACCTTTGAATCCGGCCGCCCAGACCTAATGATCCTGGAGAAGTCCCTCGACTATGGTCGGACGTGGCAACCATACCAATATTATGCTACAGATTGTCTAAATGATTTTAACATGGAACCAAAAACAGTGAGGGATTTATCTCAACAGACAGTCCTAGAAATCATTTGCACAGAAGAATATTCCACGGGGTACATGGCCAACAGTAAGATCCTCCACTTTGAGATTAAGGATAGATTTGCATTTTTTGCTGGGCCTCGGCTTCATAATATGGCTTCTCTCTATGGGCAGCTCGATACAACCAAGAACCTAAGAGATTTCTTTACTGTCACAGACTTGAGGATAAGACTGCTCAGGCCAGCAACTGGGGAATTATATGTGGATCCGCAGCACTTGACACGCCACTTTTATGCAATCTCTGACATAAAAGTAGTTGGAAGGTAAGAGAACATAAACAAGTGTATGTGCATTTTTTCTTCCAATCACATTAACCCCCTGTTTTATCTCCTTTTCCTTTCCCTTTCTAAATTGAATTATTAAACTATTGTGGTTTAAAATATATACAACCTTTTGCATAGGTAGGTAGGTAGATATATAGAGAGAGACAGAGGGAGGGAGGGAGGGAGGGAGAGAGAGAGAGAGAGAGAGATTTAACAATCTATAATGGTAGTCTTCAACTTACAACTACGATTGAGACCAGAGTTTCAATTGTTAAGCAAATCACTTATAGTTGTTAAGTTCCAATTTTATGATCTTTTTTTTGCCATGGTTGTTAAGCAAATCACTTACAGTTGTTAAGTTAATAATACAATTGTTAAGCAAATCTGGCTTCCCCCATTTAGTTTGCTTGTCGGAAGCTGGCTGGCAAGGTCGTAAACGGCAATCATATGACCCCAGGATAGCAATAGCAATAGCACTTAGACTTATATACCGCTTTATAGTGCTTTACAGCCCTCTCTAAGCAGTTTATAAAGTCAGCATATTGCCCCCAACAATTTGGGTCCTCATTTTACCCACCTCGGAAGGATGGAAGGCTGAGTCAACCTTGAGTCAACCTTGAACTGCCAAACTCTAGGCAGCTGGCTGCAGAAGTAACTTGCAGTACTGCACTCTAACCACTGCGCCACAAAGGCTCATACTGGATGCTGCAACCATTGATTGCCAAGCACCCAAATTTTGATCACGTGACCATGAGGATGCTGTGACGGTTGTAAATGCAAGTACCAGCTATAAGTCACTTTTTCCAGTGCCGTTGTAACTTCGAACAGTTGCTAAATGAATCATTGTAAGTTGTAATAGTTGATGACCACTTTTAATGTATTGATTTCTAAGTCCAATGATACCGAGTCGAACACCAGTTACAAAGACTGTACAAGAATGAACGTTAGGGTATTGTTTTTCTTTCTTAATGGCCATGTTCTCACAACAGCAATCTTTGGGGAGACACTTGACCTTCATACATGACAATAATGGCCAAAGTTTTCCTTCCTTCCTTTTCTTCCTTTTTTCATTTTCTGTATTACATTCTTTCTTTCCTTTCTTCCTTTTTCACAAAGCAGGACACAGGGAAGAAGCCGGTCACTTTTGTCAGGATTCTCAAATGGTTGCCTGCAGTAGGCATTTGAAATCATGCCTAGGATTGGATGGAGTGATATTCTTTACAGCTACCTGGTTGCCTTCCCATGATTTACAGCATCAGACACGAGATGTGTGTGTTAATGATTACTTGGCAAGCTCCAGTTGCTAAGTGGTTTAGAAGTATTTTTTTATTGAATGAAAAGTAAAAGAAAAAAGTTGTGTATACGAAGCATGCATTAGGGTTAACACATTCAGTCCATTTTTGGGGTGTAAATTCAAACTATTATTTTTTAGAGATCTGGATATGGAAGATGTATTAGGCACAGGTAAAGAAGTCTCTGCAGGCTTGACTGACTCTGTTAGTAATAGCTCTAGGGGACAGTACCCATCTCCATTTGTAGACCATTGAGTCAGTGCTGTCCAAAGAAGTTTTGCCCAGTCATGTGGCCAGCATTACATCACACCACAGCATAGTGGCAAAACATTCTTCCCACTGAAGTGGTACCCATTTATCTACTTATATTTACATGCTTTCAAACTGTTAGGTTGGCAGGAACTGAGCCAAGCGCCAGTAACTCACTCCATCATGTGGTGTTCATACCACTGGACCACAGACCTTCTCTGGTGGCCTCTTTTAAGTCACTGAGCCACCATGTTTCTGTATTAGGCAGAAACAGAGGAGACATGCTGCATTATCTAATGCTGTGATGGTGAATCTATGGCACACGTGCCAGAAGTGGCACGCAGAGCCAGTTCTGCCAGCATGCGAGAGGTCACCCCGAAGAGCCCTGCTGTGCATGTGCCGTGCTACCCCCCGACAGCTGATTGTCCGGTATCTGGCGTGCATGCGTGGGGGAGCAGGAGGGCACGTGCGATACATGCGCAACTACAGAGACATGCAGGGGGGGTCTCATGCACATGCACAGAGATGCCCGGTGCATGGGGGTGCATGCTCAGGGGAGCATGTGCATTGCCTTCTGGGTGCTGGCATGCAAGCGTGTGCGCAATTTTTGGCACGGGAGTCCAAAAAGGTTAGCCACCACTGATCTAAGGAGATGTCACATCTAATGAAATAAATACAAAAGAAAAAAATGTAAATGTCTTTTTAGTGCTGGAGGTGCTTGTCTTAATGGAAGTAGACACAATCTTACTATGAACCATAGGAAATTGCCAGAGTTTGAAGATTTATGACAATGGACCCTTCGTAACTCAGGCTGCTCAAATGTATTCATTTCACTGGGGCTTCTTGATGAAAACTTCTTGGTGGAGTCTTGCCTTTAATGAAGAAAATACCATAGGGAATTCAAGAGATGATTTTAATTTTTGAAGAGAGCATTTCATTGAAATTTGGGGGAGCTGTCATTCAAAAGTAACTGTGGGATCAAGAAGCCTTTCATTTTTCTATGAACAATCATCTATGCCTAATCTATGCTACCTCTGTGCCAATAAAATGGCTGCTAATTCCAGTGCTTGCTCTCTCAATGAGCAAATGGAAAAATACACTAGAAAAAATAAAAACAGAATAAAAATCATAAAGATGGCAGACATGTTAGGACTAGGCAAACAAAGCCTAAACTGTTCATAGCTGTGGTCCCCTTTGTCTCTGCCTTCACCTTGCCTTCCTCTTGATAATATTTAATTATCATCTTGCATTTTATGCATCTCTAGGTTGTGCCAGCAGTTCTAGGCCAGTAAAAAGATTCCACAGGTTAATGTCTACCATATTGTCCAATTTCTCAATTGGATGATTTTCAACATAGGATTCCATTCCTAAAATAATACAGTAAAGATCAAAAAATAATAATCAGAAATGAGATTGCTACTTCTCAACAAGTAGGGACCAATTTATGATCACAATAGGGACCAGAATTTCCTAAGCAGGACAGTTGCTAAATGAATTGTGCCCTATTTCATAATCTTTTTGCATAGTTGTTAAGCAAATCCCTGCATTTTAATGGATCCCTGCAATTGTTAAGTTAATCGCATGGTCACTAAACAAATCCAGATTTCCTCATTGACTTGCTTGTTGGAAGCCAACTGGAAGGCCACAGATGGAGATCACATGACCACAGGACACTGCAACCATTGTAAATGCAGGCCGATACCCAAGCGTTCAAATTTTGATCAGACGAATGTGGGGATTCTGTGATGATCATAAGTGTGAGGATCGATCGTAAGTAACTTTTTTCAGGGCCATTGCAACTTTGAACAGTTGTTAAAGGGGTGTCAAACTGGATTTCTCTGAGGGCCAGATCAGCATTGTAGTTCTCCTCTGCGGGGTGGGGTCAGCGGCAGGGAATCAGGGCAGATGCCTCCTGTACCACCCTGCTGGCCAAAAGGGGTCCACAAACGGCCCTCCTGTGCCTCATTTTTGCCCTCCATGGCCTTCTGCAACATCTGCTGGCTGAAAACGGGTCATATAGCCCATTTTGGGGGCCTGTTTTTTGGCCTGTTTTCAGCCCATTTTTCATCCCATTTTCAGCCTGTTTTGGGGCACATTTTTGCCGGGCAGAGTGCTGCAGGAAGCCACGGAGGATGAAAATGAGGCATGGGGGAACTGTATGCAGCCCGTTTTAGCCACCAGAGGCACTGCGGGCTGGTCCTTCTATATTTCCAGTCCAGCCCCACGGGCCAGATTTAAGCACCCTGCAGGCTGGATTCGGCCCATGGGCCTTGAGTTTGACACCCTTGCTATAGAATATATCCGGGAGATATCTTCATGATTTCATAAGTAGCATTGCTTTTCTTTATATGAACTACGGTACTACATTAACAGTGTTAACTTTTGGGAATTATTACCTAAGCCAGAGGTCAGGACCATACAGCCTGTGGCCCCCAAAGTATAAGTGATCTCCAAAGTGCTTCAAAAGGACTCTTAACAAAAATAAAATGTGCATTTTCCCACCTATGATCTTGCAAAATTTGGAAGGGCCAAAATGTCATTAGATTTTCATCAAAACCTTGTAAACACTTTGATGCCTCTAGATGAGGGGTATCAAACTCGATTTCATTGAGGGCTACATCAAGGTTGTATTTCACCTCAGGACTGGGTGGGCGTGGTCAGGGTGGTATGGTCAGCTTGATGTCGCTCGTGTCGGCGGTACAGTGGCCCAAGCTTCCAGTGAAAACGTAGTTTGGGAAATCCTCCTGTGGTGGCCATCCTGAGCTCTGTTTTTGCTGGCAGAGTCACTGCAGGTGGTCCTTCGCTGTTTCCAGGGTGGTCCCACAGGCCAGATCTAAGCACCCTGCAGACCGGATCTGGCCTGCAGTGTGATAGATCATAGGTTGGAACTATTAGAATAACAGATAACTAAGGCACAAGCACACAAGGGACTCTACTCAAACATCTGTGTGTAGAACTAAGAACAAAAAGATAGGTTGCTTTTTATTTTAAGTCATTTGAGTCAGGAAAAATGTAATTATGAATCTTTGACAATTATGTTTTGCTTCCCTGCTACAGTGCATTGACCCAGACACATGCTATCATTTGAAAGTAAATTTGCTGTTTTATTAATCTAGTAAGCTTGTTATTCCTGATCACTGGGTTTTTTTTCTTCTAATGAAACTATATGATTCATACTTAACATTGCAGTAATTGCTGTGGCATCTGGAATTTTATGATGCCAGGGGAAAATAAAAACTCAATGTAGTGATTTTTAAAGTTAAGTCCCCTGTAGGGATTAGCATAGTTTACTAAGATCTACTATATATAGGAGCAATCTATATTTGTCTATAAAATAGCTAGCTGGCTAATTTTTAGCTAAGAGGCTGATATATCTTCAGTATTGTCAATCCTTGTCCTGCTGCATTTAAAGTGGAGACTACTGTCACAAAGTTCAGTAAGCATAAAATTATATGAAAG